AACATAAGTAGGAGAAAGAGCTCTCTTATCTTTCCTTCCACCATAGCCAAAGGGCTAGGGACTCAGCTGGGAAGCTGGAGGGTCTGGATCCCAGGCTCTGTTCACTTTTCAGTAGCCTACTCAAATGACTACTCCGCAGGTTAGGCATTATCCAGCCAACAGGCACCACTGAGCCACACATCCTCTTGCTTCCTTCCTTCTTCCTGTCCCCACATATCTTCCACAGACCTCCGAAGGGACCAGCTTGGAAAGGAGTACTGAAGTGACTATAGTGTGAACAATGCTTAAGCTGTGCTCTGGTGGCTAGCTTACTATCCTGGCAACTAAGTACATCCTTCTTCAAGCTTTCCATGGGTGAGGAGGGGAGTCTAGAACCCATTAATTAGGTGAGTGCCTTAGCCACTGAGCTAAGGCATAAAAAGAAGGCCATAAACAAGCTTTTTCTATTCCTCAGTTTAAGCCCTATAACCACGGTTTTGGCCGATTGTGTTTTCACATGGAAGTCTATAATGCATCCCCAAGGGCATAAGCACATGCTGCCTGCAACCGTGCATGCTCAGTCTGTATGTAGTTGTGCATCATTGTCCATCTGCACAGGACTATGTGTCCAGGAATATGATTGTTCTGGACACGTAGGTGCCCAAAATGTCCTGTAGATGACCCAAAAAGTGAATACTTGGATGACCAGGGAAAAACAGAATGTTACCATTAATCACTAAATAGATGAAAAAGGGTCTGCCCACAATGCTACAGATCTTGTAAGAGCTTGCATTAAAGTGTAACTTCAAAGCTGCAGCTAAAGTTAGACTGACAGTGTCACTGCTTCATTCAAGATGGTATTTAAAATAAGATATCCACATATGCATGGCGGAAAGTCAAATTCTTTCCTTTATCATCTTTCTCTGGATTAGTTGTCAGTGGTGACTGAGTCTGGACCATTCATTCCAAAACACAGGCCTCTACTGTATGATCTAAGCCAGGGGTAGACAATTATTTTGGCTGGAAGGTCACTTTTGGCATTTTGGTGAACTGTTGCTATTGGGGTGGGGGGGAGGGGAGAGGTTGGCAATTGATCCTATGATCCTATGCGGCCCAGGTGGGGAGTGGATCATGGCTCTGCCATGGACCCCAGCCCCGTGCTGTCACTGACTCATGATCCTGGCCCCGGTCCGTGCCTGCCCATCCTGCTTCCAGACCACAGGGGTCTCAGCCAGTTTCCATGAAGATCCCACCTGGCTGCTTCATTCAGCTCCCCCAGCAGTGGGTGCAAGGCACATGGGCTGGGATGCTTGTGCAGCAGGGCTGGGTCTAGCAGTAGAAGAGACACTAGTGGCAGCAGTGAGAAGGAGCCACCACTGTAGGGGCTGCTGAGAAGCAGAGTCTGGCTTCCATACTGCCCTCACCCTGCTTTGCCCCCATGGGCAGCAGAACTAGCTGCACATACCACAGCCCAAGTTTTCCCCCACACCATGCCTGGGCCAGGCAAGGCCAAGGGACCTGCTCTGGGCCAGATAGAATCCATTGGCTGGCCAGATTTGCCTCATGGGCCATATGTTGCCCACCCCTAATCTAAGAAAATCAAATCACTAAGTGGGAGCAGTAGTAGACAATGGGGAAAATCCAGGTATGTTTGTCTGTAATGTATATCACACCCCACTACACTTAGGAAACTTTTCCAATGCCTTGGAGTTCTCTGGCAGTTCAAAATTCCCTGAATCTACTATGTGCAACAACAGCCAGATTGGGTCATCAGGAGGAATCAAACAGAATTTGAGTTTCATAGCTCAAACCTCTAACATCAAGCAAAAGTTTACACCAATTTAATGGGAACAGCAAAAAAGAGTTTTCTTCTTCAGAATGGACCCCTCAAGGAAGACAGACACATTTGGATGCTGTGTTGTACATATTATACAGACACTTCTTCTTCATGAGGGCAGAGATCTAAGAAATACCTATGTTCTTGAAAGCAATTTTATCTCAGCCCATGCCACTTTGGGCAAGGATCTTCTGCGAGTACTGGTGCACATGAATTAGCCTGCAAACCCAATCCACTATCAACTAAAAATAAGGAATAATCAAACCAGTATTTACTTAAAAAATCAAGGGCCCATCCAATAAAGATGGACATGAAGCCTCCCATTCCTTTCCTTTCTCTGGTACACACTCCAATTACCACTAATTTTGAATTGCCTCCAGAGACTGAGAAGCATTACAGTACAAGAACATAAATATCACACACTAATTACAAAAGTAATGAAAAGCTTGCTTGTAGGAACTGTTACACCAAATCTAACCCCTTGGGCTAACTACTTTTCTGGCTAGCTACTGCAGTTTACAGTCACAGCTGCACAATATTTCAGACTTAGGTCCCAAGTGTTCACACCTGTATCCTCTGCACCAGCTCCAGCAGTGAAATAGGGTAGCATGTGATACTTATAATGTAGTACAGGGGAAGTAAAGCTTAGGTCATGAGTTGAAACCCAACAGGAAGCTGTGGAAGGTGAGGTGCCATGGTTTAGTTGGTTAAAGTCCCTGTTTTGTAAACAGGAGATCCTGGGTTCAAATCCTAGTGATACCTTCAAAACTGTTTTTTACCAGCTCCAGTTGTGCAATGGGGTAGCACGTGGTACTTATAAGGTAGTATTGGGAAGTAAAGCAAAGGAAAAGAGTTCAAGCCTTTCAAAATAGTTTATTGTAAGCGGTGCCATGGCTTAGCTGGTTAAAGTGCCTGTCTTGTAAACAGGAGATCCTGGGTTCAAATCCCAGTGGTGCCTAGACCAAAGATTTTACCACTTTTGGTGGTGCCATGGGTTAGCATGTGGTACTTATATCATAGTGCTGGGGAAGTGAAGCAAAGGTCAAGAGTTTAAGCCTCACAAGCACCTTGCACTAAGTGGTCCCTTGGCTTAGCTGGTTAAAGTGGCTGCTAAAAGAATAAACAAGCCTGAGTTCAAATCCCAGAGGTATCTTAAGATTTAATTTTTCCAGCTCCAGTGGTACTATGAGTTAGCACATGGTACTTATAGCGTAGTACTGGGGAAGTAGAGCCAAAGTCATGATTTAAAGCCTCATTGGAGCTTTGGACTAAGTGGTGCCATGGCTTAGTTGGTTAAAGTGCTTACCTAGTAAAGTCATTCAAATCCCAGCAGTACCTAAAAAACTAATTTTACTAGCTCCAGTTGTGCAATGGGACAGCACATGCTCCTTATAAAATCGTACTGGAGAAATAAAGGAAAGATCAAGAGTTCAAACCTCACCTAGTCACTAGGTTTAAGTGGTGCCATGGCTTAGCTGGTTAAAGTACCTGTCTAGTAAACAGGTGATCCTGGGTTCAAATCCCAGTAGTACCTGAAAAGCTGGCTTTTACCAGCTCCAGTTGTGCAATGGGGTAGCATTTGGTACTTATAATGTAGTACAGGGGAAGGAAAGCCCAGGTCATGAGATGAAATCTCACCCTGAGCTTTGGACTAAGAGGTGCCCTGGCTTAACTATTTATTTGCCTGTCTAGCAAACAGGAAAGCCTGAGCTCAAATCATAGTGCTACCTTGAAAATGGCTTATACCAGCTCTGGTGGTGCAATGGGTTAGCACGTGGTACTTATAAGGTAGTATTGAGAAGTAAAGCAAAGGTCAAGTGTTCACGCCTTTTAAAGTAGCTCATACAAAGTGGTGCTATGCCTTAGCTGGTTAAAGTGCCTGCCTAGAAAACATGAGATTTTAGGTTCAAATCCCAGTGGTACCTTAAAAGCTAGGTTTACCAGCTCCACCTGTGCAATAGAGTAATATGTGATACTCATTAAATAGTAATGGGAAGTAAAGCCAAGTTTGGGAGTTCAAGCCTCACCTTGTGCTTTGGACTAAGTTGTGTCATGGCTGAGCTGGTTGAAGTGCCTTTGTTGTAAAGCGGAGATCCAGCATTCAAATTGCAACTAAAAATCTCCTTCTAGCAGTTCCAGTGGTGCAATGGTTTAGCATGTGGTATTTATAAAGTAGTTTTGGGAAGTAAAGCCCAGGTCAACAGTTCAAGCCTCTCACAACACTTCACATTAAGTGGTGCTGTGGCTTAGCTGGTTAAAGTGCCTCCCTTGTCAACAGGAGATCCTGGGTTCAAATTCCAGTGGTACCTGAAAAACTGTTTTCAACAGCTCCAGTTGTGCAATGGGGTAGCACGTGGTGCTTATAAAGTATTACTGGGCAAGTAAAGCCAAGGTCATGATTTCAAGCCTTACCTGGAGCATTCAAGGCACCTGTGTAGTAAACAAAATAGCCTGGGTTTAAATCCCAGTGGTAGCCTGAGTACTGTTTCTACCAGCTCCAGAGGTGGAATGGAGTAGCTCTTGGTACTTAAAATGTAGTACAGGGGAAGGAAAGCCCAGGTCATGAGTTGAAACCTCACCCGCAGCTTTGAACTTAAGAGGTGCCCTGACCTAGTTGTTTATATTGCCTGTCTAGCAAACAGGAGAGCTGAGCTCAAATCCTAGTGGTACCTTAAAAATGGCTTATACCAGCTCTGGTGGTGCAACGGGTTAGCACGTGATATATATAAGGTAGTATTGGGAAGTAAAGCAAAGGTCAAGAGTTCAAGCCTTTCAAAACAAATCATAGTATGTGGTGCCATGGCTTAGATGGTTAAAGTACCTCTCTAATAAACAGGAGACCCTGTGTTCAAGTCCCAGTGGTACCTTAAAGGCTAATTTTACCAGCTTCACTTGTGCAATGGAGTATCACATGGTACTCATTAAATAGTAACTGGGAAGTAAAGCCAAGTTTGGGAGTTCAAGCCTCACCTGGTGCTTTGGACTAAGTCGTGTCATGGCTAAGCTGGTTGAAGTGCCTTTGTTGTAAAGCGGAGATCCAGCATTCAAATCCCAGTTGTAAGTAAAAATCTCCTTTTACCAGTTCCAGTGGTGCAACGGGTTAGCACGTGGTACTTATAAAGTAGTATTGGGAAGTAAAGCAAAGGTCAAGAGCTCAAGCCTCTCAAAATCAGCTGAACTAAATGGTGCCATGGCTTAGCTGGTTAAAGTGCCTGCTTTGTAAGCAAGGGGTCCTAGGTTCAAATCCTAGTGGTATCTTAACAGCTAATTTTACCAGCTCCAGTTGTGCAATGGGTTAACACATGCTCCTTTTAAAACTGTGCTGGGGAAATAAAGCAAAGGTCAAGAGTTCAGACCTCATCAAGCCTTCAATTTTCAGCCATGCTATGGCTTAGCTTCTTAAATTGCCTGTCTAGTAAACAGGAGATCCTGAGTTCAAATCCCAGTGGTACCTTAAAAGCTGACTTCTACCAGCTCCAGTCGTGAAATGGGGTAGCATTTGGTACTTATAATGTAGTACAGATGAAATCTCACCCTGAGCTTTGGACTAAGAGGTGCCCTGGCTTAACTGTTTATATTGCCTGTCTAGCAAACAGGAAAGCCTGAGCTCAAATCGTAGTGGTACCTTGAAAATAACTTATACCAGCTCTGCTGGTGCAACGGGTTAGCACATGGTACTTATATAGTAGTATTGGGGAAGTAAAGCAAGAGTCAAGAGTTCAAGTCTTTCCAATCCAGTCATAGTAAGTGGTACCATGGCTTAGGTGGTTACAGTGCCTGTCTAGTAAACAGGAGATCCTGGGTTCAAATCCCAGTGGTACCTGAAAAGTGATTTTTACCAGCTCCAGTTGTGCAATGGGGTAGCATGTGGTACTTATAAAGTAGTACTGGAGAAATAAAGCCAAGGTCATGATTCAAGCCTCCCCTGGAGCATTCAAAGTGTCTGCATAGTAGCAGAATAGCCTGGGTTCAAATCCCAGTGGTACCTTGAGGACTAATTCTGCCAGCTCCAGTGGTGGAATCAGGTAGCAAGTGGTACTTACAGCACAGTAAAGGGAAAGTAAAACCCAGGTCGAGTTGACACCTCACCCAGAGATTTGGACTAAGCAGTGCTATGGCTTAGTTAGTTAAAGCACTTAACTTGTTTACAGAAGATTCTGGGGTCAAATCCCAGTGGTAGCTTTGAAAATTAATTTTACCGGCTCCAGTTGTGCAATGGGGTTGCACATGGTAGTTATAAAGTAGTATGGGGCAAGTAAAGCCAAGCTCATGACTTCAAGCCTCACTTGGAGCATTCAAAGAGCCTTTCTAGTAAACAGGAAAGCCTAGGTTCCAATCCCAGTGGTACCTTGAAGACTAATTTTATTAGCTCCAGTGGTACAATGGGTTAGTATGTGGTACTTATGAAATAGTATTGGGGAAGTAGAGCCAAGGTCTGTGGTTCAAGTTTCACCTGGATCTTTTGGATTAAGAGGTGCCATGCCTTAGTTTTTTTAAGCACTTGTCTAGTAAATGGGAGTGTCTGGGTTCAAATCCCAGTGGTGCCTTGAGGACTAATTTTACCAGTTCCAGTAAGTACTACTTAGTAAGCAGCTCTCTGCCCAAAATAATTGCTCACCTCTGGCTTAGTTGGTTAAAGCACCTGTCTAGTAAATGGGATTGTCTGGTTTGAAATCCCAGTGGTATCTTGGGGACTACTTTTCTAGGGGAGTACATAAAGGGTTCAGTGATCAGCTGTTCACCAGGGTACCCTAGGGGAAAAGCAGGAGTAATGGCCACAAACTCCTAGAAGATCGATTCAGGCTGAACGTTAGGAAAAACTTCTTCACAGTCCTGGTGTCCAGACTGAGAAATAAGCTCCCTCCAGAGGTGGTGCAATCACTTCCCTGGTAATCTTCAAAAGAAGACTAGACAGTCACCTTGCTGGGGTCACTTGACACCCAGTTGTCTTTCCTGCTTGGTGCAGGGGCCTGGACCCGATGATCTTCCGAGGCCTTACAATCTATGAATCTACTTTCACCACCTACAGTGCCATGCGCATGGTTTATAAAATGCTTTCAGATCCCATGGGATTAAAACAATTTATATGCATCTGTGTCAGAAATATTGCCTGATCACTTAAAGTGGCACACTTCTTCCTTCACTCTTAAAGCAACTCTGATCAAAGACATTATTATGCTTAAAATAGGTGAAAAAAAGATCATCTGCTGAAAGCTAAATTGAGACAGTGTAAATGAAGTGCATTTGTTATCCCCATTTATATGTTCTCATATTTCATGCAGTTCATGCCCAAACAGACAGGGAAGAGTTATGCTTCACTTGAAAATGCTCAATAGCATGTGATAAACTGAATACTAAGAAAATCAAATAACTTTTTTTATATAACTATATCCCTCTGTTGTTTTTTTTAAGGACACTGAAACTGAACCAGACTTTTTTAAATATAAAATACATTAAGTTGCTTTAAGGTAATGATGTAGCATGAATCACACCATAAGTATATAAGTAGGAGTATAAAAGCCTTCTTATCTTTGGTTGCCATGCCAATGACGTCTCGCCATCAGATGACGTAACTTGTTTTGTTTTATAAGCAGGAGTGAATCCTCCATCAGCAAATCAGTGCTGTGAGAATTCAGTGAGCAAACAGCACTGTGTTTCAAAAAGGCTGAAATAATGTCTGAAACGTCCCAGCGCTCCCTAAAAAGTGCTGTAGAGAGCTTCCTAACTTGGACAAGGTTCAAAGTCAGCAAACCAGCTCCTGAAGATAAAGTAGCTCCGAAAAATAAAGCTATTTTCAACATTGTCATGACTCCTGATCGAGTTCCTAAATTTTTCATCCCTTCTCTGGACATAGAGCACATTTGCTTTCAATTGGAACCAGTAGAAGATACTGAGGATTGTTCCCAGGACAGAAGAACCTCCACTGAAGTAGCCCAAGAACCCAGACAGTCAAGAAGCAAATCTGAATCCCACATCAAGAAAGAAACTCTGTGCAGAAGAGAGCAACTGTTCATAAGACAAACTCTGTATTCTGCAGACAGCAGTGTTTTCTCTGAGGACTTGGAGAGAGCTTCAAACCACTCTGATCCTGCAACCAGAGCAGCACTGTCTTTGCCCCACCTCTCCAAAATCACCACTCCTTATGGGTTTCTCATGTTAGGGGAGAGCCCCAACATCAGAAGAAAAGAATCTCTCTTCTTTGAGCGTGACTCTGCAGAGCTTAGAATTCTCTTGTCCCAAAGGAAGACAACCACATGTCTTTCAAGAAGCCCATCCAGCCCTTTGAGTGATCTGCAAGTCACTCAGCAGTCAGTGGGTGGCATGAAGTCTTCAGCTACTCCTTTAAAAAAGAGCAGATCTTTATCATGGGAACCAGCTTGCAAGAGCCACCCTCCTCCTCCTCTTCATCCTTCTCCTCTTCCACCTCAGAGCTGCAAATCAGAAGCTGAAACGTGCCCTTTGAAATGTGAGAAGAAAAGGTTTCAGATGGTGATAAAGAGGCATCTAGCCAGCGTGAAACGCATGCGTTCTACCAATGCAGCAGTGGAGAAGCTGGCTCTGCAAACAGAAAGGACACAGAGAAAGCCACTTCCTCACTTCTGTCCAAACTCTGAAAGAGAATGTCTTCCAGACTGATGCACAAGCGTCAACCCGTATTGCACGGTTGGACTTTCAGAACTGTGGACAGAGGCCCGAGAAACAGCCCAGAAAGACCTTGCTATCCTGCCTGGGTAAATGCTTCTGCTGTTTAAAGAAGTCATGTTCTGCAGTCTTGTATCATTCATGATGTAACGAAAGAAGTGACTAGTTTAAAGAGGTCATTGTCCTTAATGAATGTTATGTCTCTGTTCAAAACTAGGTAGGTGGTGTGATTAGAACTGCAGGGGGGATGCAACTTCCAGTATGTGAACAGCAAATAAAGCTTTAGCATTCAAATGTTGCCTGTAAACTAATATTACCTTTCAAAGTAAAAAAAAAAAAAAAATAGAAACAACAATAAAAATTAGTGTAAACTTTATTTCTATTAGCTGGGGAATCGAAGAATGAAGTATTCTCCTTTAAGCAGCAAAGTGTAAATTAAGACGGATTCAGAATGAGTTTATCCCGTGTTACTTTTGGCGGGTAGCTGAAAACATCCATTCATAACTTCTCTCCAGAATGCACTTAGGAGACAGGAGAAGCCAGATGTCTGACTTATTGAAAACAACGAACAGCTAGCTTCTTTCTATTTTTAACAGCTCTGTCTATTTTACACACCTCCCGTACTTAACCTTTCAACAGTCATTGGAATAAAAGGCAAGCCGGTATGATTTGTTTGCCTCAATACCCATGCTTTACTGTAATGCTTTGCCAGTTCAAAACTTGTCGTTGTTCCAATTACAACTAATCCCAATAAAATCCACTTTGTTTACAGTTCTTTTGGTTAATGTTGTCTTTCATAGCCCTTTACGTAGCCGGATGTTTGGAGGAGAGATAAAGCAGCTATCTCTGAGAATCGTGTGTTCACAGAACATATGTTTCCGATTCTATTTGTTAACCTTAATTGTTTTGTTATGCCTCAAGATCCTGGTGTGTTAGACACGTCAGTGGAAAAACCATGGCTGGCACCTGCAAGTGCCGTGTGACATCTAAGCACTAATCAGCAGGGTCTATTTGTGTTGAATTGCCAGTGTGTTCAAGAGGACGGAGTGTAGCTAAGCAAAGTTTACATTTTCAATAGCAAGCAAATACCACAGAGAGTGTAGGCTGAGGTCAATTTTCATTTGCATACAAACAGCACCAGGGAAGGATGTATGATGATGAAATCTTGGGGCTGAGTTTATCAAGGCTAAAGACCTGCGTAATGGGAATGAAACCAACACTAAAAAAGAATCAATAAAAAGAGGCATTTGAACAGCAGAGAAAATGGCTACATTTGGAATTATTAAAGGTATCAGACTTTATAAATTCTCTTGCACCTAGTTAAGTATGCTGCATAAATGCGCGTATCGGTATTTAAGTAGCTTCATTTTGCTACAGCACTGTGCATATACCGAGCAAAAGACACTGCCCAATAGAGCATGCATCTAAATGCATGAGATTGATAAAAGAAGTATTATCATCATCCTTATTTTGCAGAGGCAACAAAGGCTATATCTACACTGTAGTTCACATAGATAAACTCCACACAGATATATAGCAGCAGCCCAGAGCTTAGTCGGGGAAACAGGGTAAATTCCTGGTTTCACTAAAATGCAATTTACCCTATGTTGTATTCG